ACGGGAAATCTGATGGGCCAGTTTTTGGGATCAATCGTGATCTACCTTTGCAACAACGTTGAAGGGAGGGAGGGGTACATCGGTGCATTTGGTTCCCAGTTCATTCTCGTCATCGCCCCCTTCATTGTTGGAGCTCTCATGCCCGAGAGTCCAGCGTACCTCGAAGAGAGGGGATACAGTGAGAAAGCCTTCCAGGCGACAGAAAAGCTCTACGCGCCGCGGGCAAACCCGATGATTGAGATGCGCAAGATCCGCGCGAGTATCGCCGAAGAGAAAAAAATGTCCGACGGTGCGACGTATATGACTTGTTTCACCAAGGCACACCTCAGGCGGACGCTGATCGTCATCCTGGCGAATTTTCTCCCGACCATGTTTGGCTTGGACCTTCTTGGCAAGTCGAGCTATTTCTTGCAGTTGATCGGTATGCCTTCTAGTACGAGTCTCTTGATCCTCATCGCTGGTGTCGTGGTGGGCATCATCGCAAACGGCGCTGGTGTCTGGGTCATGTCTAGAGTTAACCGAAGGCCAGCGATCCTCATATCCCTCGGAGGTGCAACAGCCTTGTGGGCCGGTATGGGTATCTCTGGATTTTGGAGAGGCCCAGTCGTCGCCAACGTGACCGCCGGGTTGCTGACCTTGATCATCATCGTATGTGGTGTTGGCGTTTGGCCGGGGAGTTACGCAGTCATGGGAGAGACAAGCTCTTTGAGACTACGCGCAAAGACGCAAGCTGTCGGTGGAGTAGCCCAGCAGGGAACTTCAGTGATGATGAGCTTCGTTCTGCCTTATGCATACAATCCCGATGCGGGGGATATGGCAGGCAAAACAGGTTTTATCCTTGCTGGCCTTTCTCTGCTAGCTGCGGGCTTGTGTTGGTATTACATTCCGGAGATGAAGGGTAGAAGTTCCCTAGAGATTGACCAGATGTTTGATCTCAATCTTGGGGCGAGAGAATTCAAACATTGGAACAGCCCGGAAGCTGAGCCAAGGGCGTCAGAGTAGGGGTGAACAAGTGATCGAAAGAACCAAATAGAAGAAATCGGAGGTACATTGGCAAGTTGACTTTCATCTACGCAGATGCTAACCCGACGACTCCCTTGATGGAGCTTTTTCTTTTTCTCTTTTTCTTTCTGTGTTATTTATCAGCGTTTAGCAAAGCCCATCAATTCAAGCGTTGTTGAAATTCGAACAAGTAATAAAAATAGTTTATATTGAAGCGGATGCCTCATCTCCAGACCACATCTTAAGAGATATTCAGTGACTTGGGCTTATTTTTCATTGTCGTATCTCATTCAACTGCTCAAGAGTATCCGCCATCCTGGCAGTAAGGAAACTGATCCTGCATACAAATGAAAACCAGCCAATCATCATATTTTAGGAATGATAATGTGGCCTGAATCTTCCAGAGAAAGTGATCTATCAAACCCCAAAATGAGAAGTGTGAGAGTTCGAGCAGCTTGACTCACACAGTACCAACCAGCAATGGAAGATGGCAGGCTCGAATCATTCATCTTACTTGCTTTAATCATGTTTAAGTAGCTTACCCTCTACTTGATCATGTTTCCTTTAATCTCAACAAAATCTCAACACAATGAATACGAAAAGTGAAAACAAACTCTGCTAGCCCAAGGCTACAGCCATAAAAAGGTAAAACTCTATATCAAAAATAGTCAACCTTGAAATTCACCTGCACTGACCATCCCTCCAAACCAGCTACCACGAAAACTATTCAAAGAAATATTTATATTGGAGTGCACATTTCATCAGCGGATTCAGCGTCTTTGGTTGGATTGGTGAGGGGAGAGTGGAGGCCGTTATGTCAGGTGACTTGGATGTTCATTTGTCTGACTCACGAGCCAATTTGTACATCTTTCCTCGCTGATCCTTTCAATCGAGCAGCATTCAAACATTCAGCTCGCCAATATGTCGCTAAAAAACCTACCGTTCGAGCTGCTAGATCAAATATTCCATCCGCTACTCCCCAGCAGCCAGCTGAGGGCCGAGGCACTACACAGACCAGGCCGTGCTCGATACCGCGCTCGATGGATCGAGTATCTTGAGCTGCGTCGGATATCTCGTAGGTCCTCATAGAACTCGCCATTTGCCTCTCACGGTTACTCACCATATCAGGATCTTTGAACGCTTTCATTTCGCATAGAGCTCTTCAGGGGATAGAAATAGATCTTTTCGTGCACAGATCCGCCTACCTCAAAGAGTCGACTGTCAGGTGGCTTCTCACCACACTTACTCAGAATGAGACAACCAACTTGCATGAGATCTTCTCTTTTTTACAAGATTGCTCAGCTTTTATGGCCTCACAAGCCGCCTGGAATGCGGGACATTCAAACTTGCAAGGAGAATACTTGCACGTAGCATGTGATGCGTTAATGGCGCATCGTGGCCATCGTTGGGTACTTCGAGATCTCGTTCGTTGTCCAGAAGAGGATCAGTACTTACCTACAGCTTTGAGAATCGCTTATGCCTGTCTTCAAGATGAAACAATGAGCTTGAAAGGCAGTACTTTCCAAGCAATACAAATATACGGCGCGTTGCAACTTGCGGCCTGCCAGGGAAACATATTGGCTGTCCGATGCCTCCTTGCCAATGGCACAGATGTAGATAGCTACCATGAGCTCTTCGGATATCCTCTCTATCTTTCGGCATATTACGGACATAGTCAGATTGTTCAGCTCCTGGTAGAGGATGGCGCTGACGTTCATGTCGCCGGTAACCTGGGATCGATTTTGGAAGCTGCAGCTGATCGGGGTCATCACGATGTTGTCCGATACCTCCTTGGCACCGACTTGGGAAAGGTTCCTCGCAATGTGAACAAGGCATTTTTGGCAGCGTGCAAAGGTGGTCATCTAAGCATTGTCAAAGCATTGCTATCGCATCCATTCACCGATATCAACTTCTGCTTTCAGTACCGACAAACTTGCAAATTTCCTCTCAGCGTCGCCATAGAACATCGCCAAAGAGAGACAGCCAATTTCCTCTTGACACAAAGGAACATAGCACTGAGCACACACGTTAAAGTTCCATACGAACATTCGCTCCGCAAAGCTGCAGAACTTGGGTGGGCGGATACGTTGCAATTTATTCTCAGCTTCAACTGTGTCAACCCAAATGCAAAGAGCCCCGACACGGGTGCGAGTCCGCTACTGGTAGCTATTCAGCAGGGGCATGAGCACATCGTGCGCATTCTCATTAACCGAGACGATGTTCAGCCCTTTCCTTTCCATGAGAAGGAGCCATTATTTAGCGCTGGAAAGCTCTGTCCTATAGGGCGGGCCATTCTCGGTGACCAAGGAGACATCTTGAACCTCTTACTCGATCGCTACAAACTAAGTCCAAATACATCATTGAAGTCTCATTGGTCAGTATTACGCACAGCATGTGCTGCAAATCGGGAAGCAACAGTCAAGTCACTACTCCAGCGCTTAGATATAGATCCAAACTATAGGATGAATCCTGAGACCGACGCAACGCCACTTTACACAGCATGTGATCGAAACAACGAGTCTATCATTCAAGCTTTACTGAGCCACAAACTTACAGACCCCAATATTCCTTTTGATAAGACATCACCCTTGTGGCGGGTCCTCCTTCATCAATGTGATAATTACACGCCACTACTCAGATCGTTCCTGCGCCACCCCGAGCTCAGGCTAGATCTCAAACCCCCAACATCTGACTTTGTCTATCACTATCACTATGATTATGGAGTTGTGAATATGATCAAACAACGACCCGGAGCTGATCTCCTACTAAGCAATGACATCACGGCGGAGCATTGGTACGATGTAGTTGCTCATGGAGACACCGAGGAGGTTAGGAGACTCATCGCATCCGAGGAACTGGACCCCAACTGCACCACTCAAGAGGACTGTGAGCCTGGTGCTCCTTTACGTCGCGCGGTATTGTCTGCTGCCCGGGAGACTGTCGAGTATCTGCTGTCTGTGCCACAAATCGACGTGAATGCCGGGTGGAGCGGCTCCGCATTGTCAATCGCCGCAAATGAAGACGACATCGATATGCTGGATCTACTTCTCAGCGACCCAAGAGTTGATCCAAACTATCGATCAAGAAAAACAGAGGGGTACAGGGTCGAGTATCCTGAAGCGATTGGGGAGTGGATAGGATCTGTTGGATACAAGTTCCGTAAGGGATATACTGGGAGTGAAACACCGCTGTTGATCGCTGCTAAGAGGGGCAATCTCTCGGTAGTGCAGAGACTACTGAACGACGAGCGAGTCAAACCAGATATACCGGACCTGCAAGGGAGGACTGCGCTGTGGTGGGCGTGCCACTACCGTCATGTCACCGTTGTGCAGGCGCTTCTCAGCTCTGCGGAACCTGGTATCAACATGCAAGACGTCCGAGGATGGGCACCGCTAGCTGTTGCCGTGAATACTGGTCGTGTTGAAACCGTAAGACTCCTGTTGAAGAAAAATGCCCAGGTATCTCCCGAAATACCCCCTGGCTCATACGCAAGGCCACTCCATCTTGCGGTTCAGGGGGGGCACGAAGCCATAGTACGAGAGCTATTGAACGATCCCACAATCGATATGACACGAAAGATGTACACGGATCCCAAGGCGCGGCCCTGGAATCCTACACCACGGGAGGCGGCTTGGAGCATAGGATTTGATGTCATCATTAAGCTCATTCATGATTACGAGGACCAGCACAACATGGAGCAACAGCGAGAAGACGAAGACACAGACGTATGAATTTATCGAAATGGAAGGTGTGACTTATAGTAAGCTGTCTCGCTAGATAAAATAGAACTCGCACTTGGCTACATATATATATCAAGTCAGACCAGCGGGTTTGGGTTGTTCTCTTTCACCTTGGTGGAGAAGAGATCCCATTCGGCGATTGACATGAAATTGAGAACAAGATGGTATAAGATCGCTATTGTGAAATAACCAAACATGCTATCATACTTAACGCACTAAAAGGAAAACATTATGAACCTCTATCAGTGAGCGGCGAAACTATACCACAGCCGCAATCGTATTGTCTCTAAATCGGTCTGCTTCTCTCTTAAGCATGCATATGCAGCTCGCCACGACAAACGCCTCGACATCCTTGGCGGTGGCCTTTTTGTCGTCCGTCCACAAGCTCAGATCCATCATCAGCCTGCCGCCATTGCCGCCCATGTACCGGGTTGTACCAGGGGTGCGGAACTCGTCACTGCGCACCAGCTGAGCGACGCGAACGCCCCTCTTCCCAACCTTGGAACCGGCCGTCGATGCGACGGAGTCAGTCCTCTCGAGGATCAAAAGCGATGATGCGTCGTGGTCCTCTTTGCGCTCACCGCGGCTGCCGTACCGCCACTCGAAGGAGCCGAAAGATGTGTCGAACTTCTGTGCGCGGGAGAGCATGGAGCGGCTCTTGACGTCAATCAGCTCACACTGGACATTGTCCGCGTTGATGGCATCCTCGACAGAAACAGTAGTGTCGGCTGGGAAGATCCGCATCCTAGGGTGTCTACCCGGTCCCCATCGATAGATGGTTGAAATTAAAGGGGTTTGGGTTCGGTCTGAAGCGCTGACGAGGGCGCAAGAGTTTGAGCTTTTCTTGAGTCGGATGGATGTGTACTCTGGCTGCCCGGTCTCTACGCGATCGACTGAGATTGTCTCCATTTTAGATCCGATGAGGGCTGAGTTGTAGTCAAAGCCAACAGCTTGGATTTGGAGCTGGCCTGTGGTGGCAAAGCTATATGGTGACGAGCCGCCGAAAGCATCGTTGTAGGCAGGCGGGACGTCGGATTCTCTTGATGAAGTGGACAATCGGCCCATATCCTGGTCGACCGTGAGGTTGGAAGAAGGGTCTTCCTTTCTGTCGCTAGATGGGGTGGTGAAGAATGACATGGTTGGAGTTGAGTGATAGCTTGAATGTATCTTGGTTCAATGTATGTGTGAATGTTTGTTTGAAAGTGCTTCTTTTGTGTCTTGTGAGATATGCAATTGTATATTGTTCACTTTTGCGACATGGCAGTTTATATACCGCGAGGGGCAGGAGGAAGCTGGTGGGATGAGGATCACATTGAATTGAACTCTCCTACGTCACTCTGGGCTATGCAGGCGTTGGAACTGCGCTGATCGTTCAGCCCAGTGAATTACAGCGGGTTCGGTACATCTCGGCAACAGCGAGATCTGGCACCGCAGCCGCTCATTGGTCGGCCCGCTGCGAGCAGCCCAATCACAGGCCTCGCTTCCCCCACCAGCCCTAGGACGGAGCCTATGGCCGGGCACTGGGTCCAGATCCTAGGTGCACTTAGGGTGGGGTAATATTGTGTCTGACGCATCTGATGATTGGTTGACGAATAAATAGCAGCCAATCAACATCGAGCCTCAGATTCCAGCGGCTCAGAGTGGCTGGTGCTCGCTCTACTCCACACTGACATGGTGGCGCAGCCCCACAAAACACCAATGTTTTCTGATTGCCCAAACAGGAATCATGTTCCAGGCGCGCTTCATCCGGGTAGAGACGCAGAATGAATGGATGCATAGGTGAACAAATTTGATGGATGTTAAATCTTGGACAGGAAATTGCTATCTCTCTTCTGTATCTATGGCCGTCGACTATAGCAGCATAATGAAGTGAAAGGAAGTCCTCGCCTACTGGATGTTCACCTTGGAGAACAATGGGCCAAGTTTCATCATAAGAAGACGACACTATGATGCGCCCGAGTACAAACTGTGTTTATGTAAAATACCTGAGCTCATTTATACTGATACTCATGATGTATTTTATTTATAAAATGACAACCTAGCTGGTGATAGAGAAATGGAGAACCCGATTCATTCAAAAAGTCAGATGTGTATAGGGTAGGCGATTTGGAGATTGATTAGTAAACAGCTTGGGTGACTAATCAAGGGGCCCATCTGGGGAATCATCTCTTAAACACTTCTAGATTATCATTAATTCAATGAAGTATTTGAGATATAAACCATATTCATAGAACCAGTAAGCCTAGGAACTATGTTATAAAAGACCTTTTGAAGAGGCGCTCACGTCTTCCGCTCATGCTGAACAGGAACTAGACAATTTCGCGTCAGGTCGCCCCACAAGAGGGTGACATTGAAATTAAACACTGAAACTGTTTATTTTCAAGACTGCGACCAGTATTGCCAGATTACTAATTGTCAAAGATATATTTCCATGAAATAACGCGGCATATATTCTTGCTTTATCCCATTTGACACTATTGACCTTCTCGATTCGTCGTAGAAAGTAGTGTTTTATAAACACTCTTTTAGTGGGTGTCCCAATTTCAATGTCTCCAGTCATGCCCCAGCTTTGCACTGATTTATTACTGGACTGGCCGATTGATAAAACTGGGCACTTCCCCGAAAACAAAATCCTCCCCATTGGCCTCCGCATTTCCCCAACCCATCCCTGATTTCCACCTTCAACCACGCGTACATAGAAGAGCTCCCAGTTTGCCATGGTATCGCCCAATTGGCCGTCCGAAAATGCCTGCTGCAGAGTCCCCGGCCAGAGTCCCTCCAGCCTGTCAGCGATGCAAACTACGCAAGGTTCGCTGTGACAGGGCTGCTCCCAAATGTGGTGGCTGCTCAAAGTCTGCGAAGACGTGTATAATAGTCGACCCGGTCACCTCGATCCAGTACTCGAGGGATGAGATCAGTCAGTTGGAGCAGAGGGAGAAGGAGTTGCGCCAGAGAGTTAGTGGCGCTCCTCCGGTGCAGGCCGCAGCTGGTGATCGGGCTGTGGTCGATGGCCCTACACCCTCGACCGCATCGCCCTCGGACTCGAACGCCTTTGTCGGCGACGCAAGCGGCCACAATCTTCTGCGATTCATTCTGTCTGACAGCAGATGGCGCTCCTGCGAACCTCAGCTTCTCAGGCAGCTGGCCGAACGGCCCCAAGTGCCGGAGCTGACCGTGAAACCCAACCAGCAGCCTTTGGTAGACGAGGCCTTGGGGCTCCTGGATACATAGTGAGTCTCCTCACCGTTCAAAGTGTTGTTAGACTACCTATACTAAACCGTGAACAAACAGCTTTGACAGGTTTCACAGAAATCACACATTTCTGATGCGGAGAGATGTCATGGAAACCTTCAACAGAGTCTACCATCCTGAAGTCAACCAATCCGCTTCATCGCAGGACTATTTCCGCCTCTTTATGATATTTGCTCTTAGCGCTGTCCCTAGATTCCGAACTGGCGCATGCGAGGACCACCCGTTTGGTTATTTCCTAGCTGCACAGGGCTACTTAGGGGGCGTGCCCTTGATCGGCTCACTCGATGCCATTCAAAACCTGCTGCTCATCGCGAGGTTTGGGATGTATCATCACATTGGTATGAGCTCCTTTCATAAGTAATTATCGAATTCTAACAAATGTTCAATAGGCACCTCTATTTGGGACCTCTCCAGGTTTTGCATGCGCCAATGCATAGAACATAACATGCACCTACCTCCCCAATGGCCGATGAGCCTATGGGATGAACAGTATCGTAGCCGGATATTTTGGGACTGCTATATTCTCGACCGCTATAGTTCGAGTGTTCTTGGTCGTCCTTTTGCCATCTCTGATCGAGACATAGCAATCGACCTGCCTATTAACGCTTCTGATGCCGCCATAGAAGGGGCTGTTGATAAAACGGGCTTGTCTGATCTTGCACCCCCTCCCCCTACTGCCCCAACTGAACTCTCCGTGTTCATCTGTGTCATTCAGCTACGTCGGATCACTTCGAGGATCTACTCCGACTTCTATAATGGAAGAGGTGTTGGCAGTGCCAGCGGCGATACCACACCCTCTCAAAACCTCTCGTCGGGCGACGTCTACGTCCGGCTCTATAAAGTCCTCAATGAGCTGGAAGCATGGCGAAGCCAGGCCCCCGTCTTCTCTCACCCCACTTCCCTCTACCAGAGGCCAGAATGGTATGATTTTCTCCTCGCAAAGGACAAGCTCCTGCTGGTGAGGTCGGCCATGTATATCGCGCCCAAGAGAAACGGACAGCCACCGCTCGACCTGCTCACCATGTGCCTTGACTGCGCGACTGCGACGATAGAGCTTTACGACAAAATGGCCCAGAACAACTGGATATCATGGACGAGAACATATTTCCAAATTATATTCACTGCAGGTCTATCTGTCTTCTATTGGATTTCCATGCGTGGTCAGAGACAGGACGGCCAGTCAGCCTCGTCCATGGCCAGCTTGGAGTCTACATTGCGCCTCTGTTGCAAGACTCTGCAGGATTTTAGGAACCAGATGCCCGACGCTGGGCGGTTCTCCATCGTCTTTGAGATGCTTACCAACAATTTTCTCCGCCACTTTTCCTCGGGTACCGGGACATCAACACAACAGCTCGAGTTACCCGCCCCGGTATTTGGCCGTACCGAGCCTCAAACTACCTTGCCGGAACTCCAGACCTCGGATATTCCTAGCCACGACCCGAGCTTTCAACTAAACTCGGAACATACTTCTAATTTAGAGATTTTGGATATGCTGTCAGCCTCGGCGCCAGACATGAGCCAGCAACACGGTTTGGATCAATTACAAGCCGAGAATCAGGTATGGCCAGAACTCACAGACGAGTTCATGGAGCTTCTGGAGAACGGGTTGGGAGAGTACGCCTGGGGAACTGCAGATAGCAACGCCTTCCCTTGGACTGACTCGCAATTTAGCTTTGAAGGATGACGCCTCGTTTTATCTGGCACTCATGAAGCAAGCAAGCTAAGTAATTATTTACACAAAATAACAAAATTCTTGGTTTCGGCCGATCTTCACCCCTTCAAGCACCTTGTATAAAATTATACAGCCTCTCGACCGCCGCAATGGCCGTCTCCATCTGCGTCTGTTCCGTCGCTGCGCCGATGTGAGGCGTGCTGACCACATTCTGCTGCCACAGGGCGCCGTACTTGGCCTTGCTTGGCGGCTCCTGCTCATGGCAGTCCAGTCCCGCTCCCCATATCAAGTTGTCCTGCAGCCCCCGCGCGAGATCCTCCTCATGCACGATGCCACCGCGCGCAGCATTGATAAGAATCGCGTGCGGCTTCATCATCGCCAGCTGGTCGTACGAGATCAGCCCCTTTGTGCTCGGGGTGAGCGGAACATGGATGCTTAGCACGTCGCACTCCCTCAGCACCTCCTCCACCGTCGCCGCGCGCCTGTGCGGGATGTCCGCCCACGCCGTCTCCGGCACGAACGGGTCGTACGCGATCAGCTCCGCGTCAAACGCGCCGCGGAAGATGCGCGCGACGGACTCGCTAATGTTCCCCATGCCCAGAAGGCCGAGCGTCTTCTTGTGCAGGATCAGGCCGGAGCACACCTCCTTGGGCACCAGCTTGCCCTGGACCTGGCGCTCGTGGATCTTGGGGATCTCGCGCGCGACGGACATGGTCAGGCCGAGGACGAGCTCCGCGACGGCGCGGGAGTTGACTCCCGGGGTGTTGAAGATCTTGATGTCCCTCGCGGCGCACGCGGCAGAGTCAATCTTGTCGATTCCGACGCCCTGCTTGCCGACGGCCTTCAGGTTCGGGCACGCGGCGATGTCCTCGGCGGTGAGGTAGGAGGAGCGGATGAGCAGGTACTGGGCATCTTGTCGCCAGTGGACGTGTTCTTTGTCGCCGGGCTGGATTGTCTTGAAGCGCTGCTGGCAGTACTTGATGGCTTCCGGGTGGAACTTGTCCAGGAGGTAGACGGTAGGCCGGCGGTCGTCGACGGGGCTGGCCTCCCGGCTGCTATCTAGGAGGGTTCCTGGCGCCATGATGTGTATTCAACTGTGAATGGGGAAATGGTATTCTTGTGGGGTTGGTATGAAATGGCAATTTGAAGCTGTATATAAATTCTTACACATTTGATTAATGGAGAGAAGGAAAGAAGAAGTTCTGAATCACAT